CCTGGAGTTTTACAAGAAGGTATCATGAGGAGGAGCTGGGTGACAGGTGTCCACATCGGATTGCTTCTTTTTTTCTTCCTTTGCAGTGTTAAGGCTGGAACCCAGGGCCTCACGTGAGCCAGACAAGCCATGTGCACTTCACCCGGGGCTACCTACAGCCCAGCCCTCTTTCAATTACTGCTATGGTAGCATGGTAATCTGTAATGACCTTGAAATAAAATGCTTAATTAAAAAATAATTACCATGAACAAAAGTCAAAGGTAAGCTGAGTGGGGCTGCTTCAGACCCTCTGCAGTCAGGACTGATAAAAACTGAAGTATCTGCAGGACACCTGTGAATGGGGGGTGGAGTGGTTTGGTGCGAGAAAAAAACGCAGAGGCGCTGAGGGGTGGTCTGGAAAGTCAGGACCCCTCTCCCCCCCCACAGTCACTCAACACCTCCTGCAGGAAGGTATGAGTGTGTTAGGGAGAGGGGTGCTGGGAGTTAGAAATAGTGGACATACCCACCATTAAATTATCCCATTATTCATTTTCAAAAGCTTAGCTGTGTTAATTGATAAGCGACTATGGTCAACAGAATCAGACACATTTGTAGTATCAGAGAAAAAAGCAAACCAGAGAAATGGTTGTGACGTAGTGACTAGATTCTCAGCTTTGGCCAGCTCAGTGATAGAGTGAGTGTTTGGGTTAGATCCCCAGAATTAGAAAAAAAAAAAAAAAGTCAACTCTCAGTTTCATGAGAGGGAGAGAGAGCAGGGTCCTGACTTGCTGAGCTACACCCTTGTTGAAAATTAGGTTGGACTGTTGTTTAGGTGTGACAAGGGTAACAGATCAGAAGACAACTGCCATCGGAAAGAGCTCAGTTTATGGCCTGGGGCAGGAGGGTGGCCACACAGAAGCACCAGGGTTGGTCTAGAGGCGGAGGTGTGAGGGAAGATGAGTGAGGTCCTTCATAGTGGCCTCTAGGGGAAGAAACAGGTGAGGCAGTACAAGCAGGTTTAGGACTGGCTAGTTCTGGGACATATGGCTGTCCCCAGTTGTCTGGTACCTGGCCCAGAGATGATTACTACAGCAGGTGATAGTGGCCTGGAGTTCCCTAGAGAGAAAGTGTTCTGTGTGTGTTTGGGGGTGGGGGTGGGGGTGGGGGGGTATGGATAGATCATTTGCACATGAAAGGGGCGCTGGAGGAGGGTGTTTACTTTCTAGGAATTCTCTACCCTTAATTCCCTAACCCTGGGAGGTGGGGTCTCTCCAAGCTTAGCAAGACTCCAGGAATCAGTCAAGGACACTGTAGTGCCAGTACCACCTGCTCTGGTTCACTGGGTTGGCTTCGTGGGAGCAGACCTCACCCTTCTTCAGCCACTCAGGTTCTGTCCTTCCACAGGCACCTCGAGCGTCTGCTTATAGTCAGGGGCTCACCGGGGGACAGTGTTCCAGCGAGCCGGCCATCTCAGGGCGGCATCTCTATCCCGGCACAATTAGCATCCCCAGTGAGGTGTCAGGATTTTGGTTGTCGCTGTTTTGATTTTTTGTGTTGTTGTGGATAGATACCGCCACACCAAAAAAAAAAAAAAAAAAAAAAAAAGCAAACAGCACTAAGGGCTGAAAGTGAAAAGCAAGCCTCCCCCATCCCACTTCCATGGTTGTCCAGGTCCCTTCTCTACATAAGAATTTAACAGTCCACTCGGGCTCCCTCCACAAGTGGCGGCCAGGTGAACACATTGCTCTCCACTTTGTCTTGGAGCTTAGCCCATAATAGTGTATGGAGCTGCCTTGTTATTTGAAAAGCTGCATAGCACCCCATAGTCTTTGACTTAAGACTATTGATTTAAGTGTCCCTCTCCTGGTGGACAGACACCCAGGCTGTTTGCAATTCTGGCTTCTGTAAGCCACTCTGCACTGAGTACCCTTGGTGTAAGGAAATATAGGCCCCAAAAGTGACCACGTGGAGAGGAGTGATCTGGCCAAGAGATTCTTTATTGCCGGGTGGGAGAGGGAGAGAGCAGAGAGCCAAGAGAGAGGAGAGAGGGAGAGAGGGAGAGAGGGAGAGAGGGAGAGAGGGAGAGAGGGAGAGAGGGAGAGAGGGAGAGAGGGGCAGGGGCTTAAATACCCCTCAGTGAGACTCGGCATGAGCTGGTTGGTTAGGATCTTATGGTTCATGCTGATTGGAGGTTGGAGGCAGAAGGAGGGTTCAAGCTAGACTTGAGGCAGGACTGTGACCCTGGGAGGCAGGACCGTGACCCAGGAAAACAGAAGCATAAGGGTGCAGTAAGAACTGAAATCTATCGGTGCCATTATTGCCAACACTTGGTACCCATCCTGAGGCCCAGGGGAGGATCTGCAGGGAAACTTCTACTCAGTGGGACTGTCTGGTGGAAGGTACACTTGGGGTGCATTTTCAAATTGCTGCCCAAAGAGGTTGTGTCAGTATACACCCTCACCTCGAGTGGGCCATCTCGATGCAATTCTTCAAACTTTGGAGTCTAGCTGGGAGGCAGAGCTGCATTTCAGCTTTGCTGTCTGCTGGGAGAGGACAGGAAGTTGAGTCAGGCCATGTCTTCAGACCTCAGTTTCTTCGTCTAAAAATGAGGAGAGGCATGTAGCTAGTGATCTGAAAGTTCCTTCCACCCTTGAGCTTTCGGAGTTACTTTGGCTTTACAGGCCTCTGTGATCTGATCTGTAAAGAGGTACTAAGAGTTCCTACCTCTTTTCTCATGCCTGGGTACAGACATGCCAGGAAAGTTGGGTGCTCCACCAAGGAAAGAGTAATAATGCCTTTATTGGATTTTTTTTTTGTTTTTGGCTGTACTCGAGTTTGAACTCAAGCCTTCGCACTTGCTGGGCAGGTGCTTCACTCCTTGAGCCGCACCTCCAGCCCAATTAGATGCCTTTTGAACCACTTTCAGATCAGTAGCATGGCCAGGGGATGCCACCAACACTCAGTTACGGTTTTAGACTGAGAATACGGTGTGTGGGGAAGCTGGACCTGGTCGGAACTGTGCAGAGGTAGCAGATGCCATTGGCTGTGCTCCCCTTGCCTGCGTTCCCCCTCAGTGGGCCTGGCCAGGCTCCCTCATCCCTCAAATTGAGGGGCTATCATTGCCCCTCTGGGAACTTTCAGAAGTCTCTGGGGGCCTCAGCGGCTCCCCCTCTGGATTCCCCGCCTCAATATCTTCATGGTAACTCGCATTTCCAAGCCTGTCTCCCTCTCTGCTTCTGAACTCCTTCAGGGTGGGGGTGGAACTGGATTTATTTGAGTCTCCTGGGCCACCAAAAAGCCTGATACACAGTGGATAGCTGTCAAACATTTCTGAATGGAGGCTGTGCCAGGGCTAGATTGGCAGTATTCTTGCTCAAAGCATCATGTCAAGGCTTGGACTTTGGGGATCCATCTGGGACATGCTTTCTCCTCCCTGTATCTCCTTCCCATCTTTGCCTGGGTGGGCTGGACTCCCTCAGGCATCTGATCCAGGGCTGCAAACCCTAATGTCCTTCCTCAGTGACCGGTCAACACACTGGAAGACCTAAGGGCGTGGTGGGGAGTGTGGTCACCAGGGGTAGTCTGGGCCCACTTTTTTCAAAAGATTTTCAAGAGAAACCGTTAAGTCCAGATTTTTCATAAGTTTTCCTGTCTTTGAAATGTGTATTCAGATAGTTTCACAACATTGTAGGAGTCACATAAAACTGCCCAGGAACTAGTTGTTGCCTGAAGGCCCCCGGTTTAGGAATTCTGAAAACTGCCCACCTCTCCTGGAGTACAGATAGAAAAGTTGGGGCCCAGAGGTAGTGAGGCATTCACCAGAGATGACAGTAGGGATCAGAGCCAGATCCAACTTGTCCCCCCACCTTGCCTCTTTCTGCCTCCTCCGCAGACTGTCTCTTTTCGGGTGTGCGCACGAGCCTGTTTTAATCTCGGGCTTCTCTCGGGATCTCTGTCTCTCCCGAGTGCGGGTTTCTGCAGTGTTCTCGTAGACAACAGACTTCCTCCAGAGCTGGGCGCAGAAAGGACCCCACACCATCCCGGGGCCCTGCGGCTCGCGCGTCCTCGCTCCCCTCCCGCCCCAGATTTCCGGAGGAGCAGGCGGGCGGACTGGGTCCCGCGGGGCCGCTGCCGTCAGCGCCCCTTCCTGGCGCCCGCGACCCCTCCCCGCTGACCTCACCCGCGCCGCCGCCTCGCGCGCGTATAAGAAGCGGCCCCGCCGGGGAGCGCGCAGCCGGCGCCCGGTGCTACGAGCGCTCCCGGAGCCCAGGATCGCGCACCGGTTCCCCCGGGCCGTCGCCGGGCAGGTAAGCGGCTGCGATCCCTCTCTCCGCGGACCGGACCGGACCGGACCGGACCGGACCGGGAGTCGTCCTCGCCCGGACTGCTGTCCTCCCCGAGCGCATCCCGGAGCGCGGGGCCGGCCTACAGGTGGCCGCTACAGACCCGGACCCGACGGAGGCGCGGTGGGGGCGCACGGGTCGCATCCACCGCGGTGCTCGCGGGTCCCCGGCATCTGCAGCGCCCAGCGTGGGAAGCCAGGGCGCCCACGCATCCAGCCGCTGCCTGGACCCCAGCGGCGGGGAGCGGAGCTTCAGATGCCCAAGCTTAGCGTTAGGAGCCGAGTTAGAAATGGAAGCTCAGCCTTGCAGCCCGAAGGTTGGCGGTGGAGGGCTGGAATTTTTCAGTGGCCCCAGAGCCGTCGGGAGACTCTTGGCAGCAGAGCGGCCATTAGTGTCCCGCCGTCGGGCCAGCGCTGCAGGTGGCTACGCGACAGGCGAGTCGCCCCCAGTGCTGGCTTCCCCAGCTTCGGGTAATGCGAAGGGTGGCGCCGCAGGCACCCTTGGGGAGCAGGAGAGGTGACAGGTGTGGGTACAGAGCGGGGACAGAGGTGGCAGGAGGTCCTGCTCCTGGGAGGGGGTGGACCGTGCGTGGTTTTTCCCTGGAGTAGGCCGGGCTGGTGAGCTCACGCTCTCCTCTCTCTCGCTCTCTCTCTCTGTTCCTTGACCCCAGACGCCACGATGCCGGGCCCTTGGATGCTGTTCACCCTATCTTTGATCTTGACCTTGACCGGTGTCCCGGGATACCGAGCCCAGCCAGAGGAGGCCCAGAAAGAAGTCGCAATGGCCGCGGAGCGTCCCGGGCTGGACGACCTCCTGCGCCAGGCGGAACGCCTCCTCCTCCTCGGTGAAGACCTCCAGCGGCTTCGAGGAGACCTGGGCCAGCCCTCAGGTGAGTGTGTGGGGCTGCCCAGGGGTGAGGGGGGACTTCTGGAGCCGGATGTGGTGGCAAGGGGGCGACTTCAATATCTAGCCTCCAGCCTTCCAGGAGTTCAAAAACCCACAGTCATTAGAGTCTGGACTTGATCAATCCTTGGGACCAGATTCCTCTCCTATCTGTGCTACAAATATTTCACAGACAGACCTTTGGTGGGGACCATCCTCTGTCCAAGAATCTGTGTGACAGTTTTAATTACTATATGCCAAGCGCTTCTATGCCTGGCATTATTGTAAGCACTTCAAACACCTTATCACACTAATTGATTTTCCTAGCAACCTCTTAGGTTCTGTTATTACCATTTTACACCAGAAAAAAAAAAAAGTATCAGAGTATCAGAGAGGTTAAGTGAGCTGTTTAGGTCACACAGCTAGGGAGTAGTGAAGCTGGGAATGGAACTCACAGGCAGTGCTTTGAGTGGGAGTGCATGTCCCAGAGGCAGGTGCAAGACCCCTCTGGCTAGGGGCTGCAGGACATCTGCCTTGACGGGAGGAAGACTGGAGTGGGCCTCAGGCAGGTATGGCTGCTGCAAGGGCCAGGGACATCTTTATTGACCACTGTCCTTCCCCAGAGTCCCAGCTCTTTCAACCCAACTGGCTCTCCAAGCGTCAGCATCCAGGCAAAAGGGAGGAGGCAGAAGAAGGGGTTGAAGAGACGGAGGAGGAGGAAGAAGCGGGGGCTGTGGGGCCCCACAAACGGCAGCACCCAGGCCGGCGGGAGGATGAGGCTTCATGGCTTGATGTTACCCAGCACAAGCGGCAGCACCCTGGCGGGCATTCCCCCTGGCTGGAATATGCTGTCATCAAGAGGCAGCACCCAGGCCGAAGGCTGGTGGATCCCAAGGTCCAAAGGAGCTGGGAAGAGGAGGGAGAGGAGGGAGAGGGAGCATTGGTGCCTGAGAAACGCCAGCATCCGGGCAAGAGGGCCTGTGGGCCCCAGGGAGTCTGTGGTCAAACTGGCCTCCTGCTGGGGCTCCTGGATGACCTGAGCAGAGGCCAGAGGGCCCAGGAGAAGTGGCAGCACCCTGCATGGAGGGTGGCCTGGACCAGGGAGCCCCTGGAGGAGTGAGCTCAGTCCCTGTAGAGTCAGGTTTCAAAGCTAGGGTGTCTTGAGCCCTGTGTGCCCTACCCGCTTCACAGTGTCCTCTTTCCCTCCTCCTAAATGTCAGCCCTCTGTGTAACACATCCCCAAGCCTAGGACCTTATGCTTTCTCCTTTTCCTTCAGGGACAGGAGGAAGCCAGCCAGGGAGTGAAAACCCCACTTTGCCCTGCAGATCCGCAGATCCCAGAGTCCCTGTCCTCTCTCCCCCACCCCAGGCCTTCCCCCCTTCCTTAGCCCTGCTAAGATGGCCCTTCCACACCTTTTAAGGGACCCCCAGAGAGGAGCAGTTACAGTGACAGTAGGGTGGGATAGAAGAAGCTTTGACGTCTAAATCCAGCTTCTGTCCCCTGCCCCATGTGACAGGATTCACCACGTGTAAACTGCCCACCCAGGACCTGGGTCCCCTTCTTGGGCACTGCATAGGAGGTGGAAACTCCCAGTGGTGTTGGGCAGTGTGTGGCTGGGGGATGAGCGTGTGTAGGAAGTCGTGCTTGTATATAACCCTTAGGCACCTTGCCCTTCTCTGTGATGTCATCCTAATGATAATAAAACATGCTTCTAGCCATCTCAGAGCTCTGTGGTTGCTGTTCTGTCCCGGCTGCCATGGGGACAGAGGAGTATTTATTATGCAGTGTTGGGATGGAACCCAGGTTCTTGTCTGTACTAGGCAAGTGCTCTACCCCAGTCCAGAGGGATATTCAAAAGGGACAGGACCAGAACTCCAGCTCTGCTGCAGAGGGAATCGGGGGCTCTGGAAGAGGACTGTCCTGGCCTCAGAACACATGTGGGGGTGGATAGTGATTCTGGAGCATGTTTGATCCCTAGGGAAACTAAGGACTTTCCTAAAAACACACAGCTGGTTGGGGTGGAACCATGGGTCTGAGAAAGCAACACAGGGTCCTGCCTTGAGTTGTCCGATTGGAAAGAAGTCTGGTCTGGCTCAGGTCTGTAATCCTCATGGTTCTGTGGCAGTAACTGACAGTCTATGTCACCTGTAAAGCCTAGTACCATATGGGCATGAAAAAGATAGTCTGGAGACACAAACCAATGAGTCTACAGGGTGGAGGATGAGAGGAAATGGTGCGGACTGGGGCAAACCAGAGGTTGCTAATGACAGTGAATTCCAAACCTTTAAGAAACCTGTGAGTCAAACACCAACAAGAAAACACACAGCACTTACTATGTATCAGGCAGGGTTCTAAACACTTTGTCTATATAACACCTTTTAATAGTCACAATAACCCTTCTAGGTGTTACTGTGACTATGCCCATTGTACTAATAAGGAAGTCAAGGCTCAGTCAAGTAAAATTGCCTGAGGCTGAATTTGGCCCATTCATTGCCTGTTTGTGACTTCAAACTAAACTAAACTCCCAGATTTCCTCAGTTTGAGACTGAAAGGGTGAGACCACCCTCCGTTTAGTGGATGGACAGGCTTTTCAACATTTCTCCAAATGGCTTTTAGCTACCTTCTGGCATAGAGGCCAGAAGGGTCTAGAAGGGTATCTGTGACCCTCTTCCTCTTCTTGGGTTGTTCATGGTTCAGATGGGGAGAAGGGTAGAGAGAGAAGACTTGGGGTTTACATAGTACACTTATAGCCATCTACATGAGTGCTGCCCAGGGCACCCTGAGACAGTGAGCATTTGACACATAAGAAGTTGATGTTTCTGTTCAGGAGGATCTCAGTTTGAGGCCAGCCCACACAAAAAGTTAGCAAAACCCTATCTCAATAAAAGCCAGGCAGAGGAATACATGCCTATAATCCCAACTTCTTGGGAGGCAGAGATAGGAGGATCAAGATCCAAGACTGGCCCTGAAAAGAAGCATGAGCCCCTATCTAAAAGACAAACTAAAAAAATAAAGAAGGGGTTGGGGTGTGGCTCAAGCGATAGAACAGCAGCCTAGCAAGCATGAAGCTCTGAGTTCAAACCCCAGTTCTGAAAAAAAAAAAAAAGTCTACTAGCAGCTCCTCAAATGTCCCCCTTCTTTCCTCTCTCACACATATGCCTTTTGCTCAGTGAAGGATGCTGTTGGATGGAGGGGGAAATGCTCTGTATAAGCACCTGCATTTCCCAGCCTCCCTTGCATTTGGGGAAGTGTCACGTGACTAGTCCTGGCCATGAGCTGTAATCCTTAGTGTATCACTTCCTGGCTGAGGCACCTGGAACCTGTTCTTCCTGTGTGTTGAGATGCCAGAGCACATAGGAGAATTCGGAACCCTGCTATCACCGATGGAAGTCAGACACTGCTCACCACATCAGACTTCTTGTGTGCAAGAAAAAAACTTGTGTTTTGTTAAGTCGCTGAGATATCAGGGTTTATTTGAATTGACTAAATTTATTTGGAAGCAGACAAACACCGAGGCCTCTCCCTTTTCTCTGCACATTGAGATCGTTCCCGTCTTTTCTTTCTCATGTGTCTGCCTTTGTCAGTGCTGCCTAAATCAGGGCCTGGCATCCATAATATTTGTCGAGTGGATGTTGCTTCAGGTCACTTTAGTTTCCCAGCCTCACTTCCAGGGCTCCTGGCATTTAAAGGGCTCCCCATCCATGGGGTGACAGACAGATGAGGACAACTTGGGATGAAAAGTACCAAGTTATGGGGAACAAAGAGTGCAAAGAGAATGCAGAGGAGAGATAAACTGTCTAGTTGAGCAAAGAAGGCTTCCTGGAGAAGGAAACATCCAAGTGTCCAAGACAAACGAGAGGAAAAGCATTTAAGGAAGAGGAAGAGAGTATTAAAGGCTGTATGGGGAGGCCAAACGTGTTCTTGGAGTTGCTAGCATGTGAGGTCTGAGGTGTCTGAGCTCCGGTCTCCTCTCCCCCAACCTATCTTCCAGGCCCGAGGGGCTGAGCCCCGTGTCTTGCTAGATCCTGCTCCCTCTTCCTCGTTCTGTCCAGGCCCCACTCAGGAACTCCAGTTCTCACAGCTCAGAAGTGTGAGGGGCAGTGTCCATTGGTGTGGAGGAGGGAACCTTCCTGGAGTAAAGGATATTTTAGTTGAGCTTCAAAATATTAAAGAAAATTACAAACTTTCTGAGCTCTTCATCTGGGACCACACACTGGGAAGAACACTGACATCCACTGCCTGGCATAGAGTAGGTAAATTGTAACGCAGAAAAAGGACAACAGAGAAGGAAGGAATTGTTCTTCGCTCATGACCTTGAAACTAGGAGTTGTCTCCATGCTTCCCACCCCTGTCACCCACATCCAATTCCTGTAGATTTCACTTGCTAGACGTGTCTCAAATTCTATTTCCTTCCAGCTTCTCAGCTGTCATCACCCTGATTCTGCCACCATTGTTGCTCATACCAAGACCCCAGTAGCTTCCTGGCTGATCTTTGGCTTCTCCTCTTGTCCCCCAAAGTCATTCTCCACACAACAGCCACAAGAATCTTCCTGAAGTAAAATCTGGCTATGGACCCACCCTGCATGAATCTCCTTCCTATCGTCTGCCCAGTTAGCCTTCTTTTTGTTTCCTGAACATACCTCATGGCCTTTGTTCATGCTGTTCCCTCTGCCTAGAAACTTTTCTCCTCCTCCACACCTTCCCTGCTTTAGCTCCTAGCATGCCTTCCTGTACTGTGGAGGTTGGAAAGCAAAGACTATACTTCCCAGGCTCCCTTGCAGCTAGGTTTTTTTTTTTGGATGCACACCAAGTTCTCCAGGTAGACACACTCATGTGAAATTTAGAAAGTAGTTTTGACTATTTCTGCCAGAAAACAAGGCTGTGGCAATGTGTGGTGTTTCAGAAGCAGCTTTCTAGTGTACAAACTCCAGCTTGGGGATCTATGGTCTGTCAAATGACAACTTCCTGAACAGTTTCACAGCTACAGTTTATGTGTTTTGTTTGTTTATTGCAGAACTGGGGATGGAACCCAGGACCTCATGCATGCTAGGTAAGCATTCTACCACCGAGTTGTATCCCCAACCATTTTTTAAAAATTTGAGACAGGGTCTTGCCCAGACTGACCTTGAAACTGTAATCTCTCAGTCTTGCAAATAGCTGGGATTACAAGCATGTGCTATCACTCCTGTAACCATCTGGCTATGTGTTTTAATTTTAAACAACTTTGTTGGAATGCATGTGCATACATATGCAATACACTTCTATATTAACAGCTTTATTGAGATAGAATTGATACACTGTACAAGTCACTCAACTGTTGTGCAGTCTAATAGTTCTTAGCATATTTTTTGAGATGGGGTCTAGCTATGTAGCCTAGACTATCCTCAAACTTGCAATCCTCCTGCCTCCACCTTCTGAGTGCTGGGATTACAGGGTGTGCTGTGGTTTTTATTCTATTCAGAGTTGTACGACCACCACAGTCAATTTGAGAACATTTTACTCACCTTAGAGAGAAAAACTGCTTATCTTAGCGATCACTCCCTAACCTCCCATGGCCTCCTGTAGCCCCGATAACCACTAATCTATTTTCTGTTCCTACAGATTTGCCTATTCTGTATATTTCATAAAATTGGAATCATACAAGATAGGCCTTTTTGTGCCTGGCTTCTTTAACTTAGCATAGTGTATGTGTGTGAGAGAGAGTGTGTGTGTGCCTACATGTATGAGGCAAGTGCCAGCATAATATTTTTCTTCTTTTTTTAAATTTCTTTTATGTATATGTGCATATAAGGTTTAGGTCATTTCTCCCCGCTTCCCCCACCTGCATAATATTTTTTAAAAACCCATGCATGCCATAGCTTGTATGAGTACTAATTCTTTTTTATAGCTGAATAGTATTTTGTTGCATAGACATACCACATTTTGTTTAACCATTCACCAGCTGATGGCATTCAGGTTGTTTCCACCTTTTGGCTGTAGTGAATAGTGTTGCTATGAACATTTGTGCATAAATTTTGGTTTAAACACTTTTTTTCAACTATTTTGGATGTCTACTCAGCAGCAGAGTCGCTAATTGTATGGTAATTCTATGTTCAACTTCTTGAGGAGCTGCCGACCTT